GCATTGACACTTCACGGGCGATCTGCGCCGCAGGAGCAAGAACGGGCACCCGACGACCTTCGGGGGGGCTCGGGGGCAGACCCAAGAGGCCGCGTCGCGCGAAGGCGTCGGAAGGGCCTATGCAGCGCAAGGTCTGACAATGCCCACTCGGAGTCGAATCGGACGCGCCAGACACCAACCTTCCAACCACGCCAGAGGAAATGGGAAGGCGTGGGTAGATCTAGCCTGTGGATTCGCGGAGGCATGGGCCTTCAGGTGGCACCACGTAGCTTACGAGACTTGGCCGCATGTCATGCGTCGGTCCTCGCCCCCCAAAAACTTCACCGCATTGCGACGACAACGAGGGAAGGGGTGGCTAGGGGGTGAAGGCGCGCGCCCGCGCGTCATCGGACATCCCGCCCCCCCCCCCATCCCTCCACTCCCTTCCCATCCCTTCACATGGCGCTAACCAGTTGTCTTCTCAGTGGATCGAGCATCGAATCAGAATTACATTCGTGGCGTGATGTGCCAGGTCAATATGCCCCGACATGCAGACCGATGCTGAGGCACCGAAGCGCGTTCGACGAAAAGGAATTGAAGGGGGAGGGAAGGGCCTGGAATCGGCAGGGGGAGGGCACGAAGAGGATAAAAGAGAAGGAGGAGGATCAATGAGGGAGCCAAAACGGTAGATGCGGCGCCTGGACCACACGCCCGCAAGAACACAACGTACAGAAGCAGTTTGGGAGACGAGAACCTTCCAGATAAAAAGGCAAATCAGCAGCAGTTCCGCAACGCCGAAGAGCAAATAGTTGGGACCAAGGCTTTGCGGGCGCATGATTGCAAGGGGCCCCAAAGACGCGGGAATGATGTCAGGCAGACAACGAATGCGTGCGATGGCCCGCATTCCAGAAGGGCAAGCCACGGCGGGACCCTCATTTTGAAAATACAGTGCGCGACAGATGGACCAACATTGACAAGGACCGCGAACGCGCATACGAGACCAAGGCTGCAGCGGAACAGCACTGCGGGGCTACGGTTCTGAGGGGCCAACACACGCAGGTTGAGGTCAACGCGACAGCGGGACCACCATTGACAAGGATCGCGAACGCGAATGCGAGACGAATGCTGTAGAGAGGTCGCTATTTTGGAACGATTGTGAAGGCGGCAGTAACGCGGGATATTTGTCTGTCAAGAACGCAACTTATCGAATTGAGAAAGCACAAGAACATCATTGCCGTGCAAATCATGTTTGTAGAAAGCAAGTTCGCGAAGGATCTTATTTTAAAAGCACATAAGGCAATCCCGTTCGCGCAAACCGAGCGTGTACAAAACCAATACGCTGACCGGGGGGGCGGACACTCTCAGCACATGTTCGAGAGAAGGGTAAGAGTTCGACTCATAGTGTTTAGTTGAGAGGGCGGGCGTGGGTCAGGGAGGGGAGGGGGCAAGGGCGAAGTGGAGAAGGGTAGCGAGGGGACGGCAAGAATGCGAGTCGCACATGCACTACCGCAAGCCAGGGCTTTCTCCTTCGACGAACACGACACACATGCTATCGAGCGTGGACCTCGAAGAGCAATGTCACGCACTGTAGATGTATAAGCTGTGTGGTGCAAGCTACGTAGTGCAAGCTACGTCGTGCATTTTACGCCGTGCAAGCTAGAAGCGGCAACGAGGCGGCAACTGGCGGCAGCGCGGCGAAACCCCGCCGGACCCACCCAGCGCACGAGGCGGCCACGAGGCGGCAACGGGCGGCAATGCGGCAACACTTCGCCCGACCCACCCAACGCACGAGGCGGCAACGAAGCGGGCGACAACGGGCGGCAACATGGCAAGACCTCGCCAGACCCACCCACCGCACGAGGCGGCAACGAAGCGTCAACGGGCGGCAACGTGGCGAAAACCTGCTGAACCCATCCAACGCACGAAGCGGCAACATGCGCCAACGTGGCGAAACCTCCCCAGACCCACCCAGCGCACAGGCGGCAACGAGGCGGCAACGGGTGGCAACGCGGCGAAGCCTCGCCCGATCCACCCAGCGAACGAGGCGGAAACGAGGCGACAACGGGCGGCAACGTGGCGAGACATCGCCAGACCCACCCAGCGCACGAGGCGGCAACGAGGCGACAGCGAACGCCAACGTGGCGAAACTTCGTCAGACCCACCAGTGCACGAAATGGCCACGAGGCGGCAACGGACGGCAACGTGGCGAAACCTGCTGGATCCACACATCGCACAGGCGAAAGCGAAGCGAAAACATGCGCCAACATGGCGAAACCTCGCTGGACCCACCCAGCGCACGAGGCGGCAACGAGGCGCCAAGGGGCGCCAACGTGGCGAAACCTCACCAAACCCATCACGTGTGTTATTCTTACAAGGGATAAAGTTTAAGTGCAGACATTATGCGTGGAATCTCACATGCATATGTGTTTTGCTTGAAGGGCGAACCGCCCCTTAGCCAGGATATGTTCACTCAGTTTCGCACTCGTGCGGACGCACATGTCCTCCGTGCGAATTGGGACTCCATCTTGCTTGTGAGCCGACACAATCTTCAAAAAGATGTTCGTTCACGAGTAAACACATGGGCACGGCATTTCGTCATTACTCAGCGGGTGGTGCCACGAAGGATAAGATGTTGGACGGGAGTGATGTCTTGCATCGACGGTGCCCGAACGCCAGGTGTACACAGTGTGGAAATCTGAGGTTGATGCGCCAGTCGACCACGTTGGGAAAACACATATGGTCAGATACGCGTCAGGCTACATGGCTGAACTGCGTGGTCACTCTGTGCGTTCGGGCCATTGGCAGATTGTTTCCAGACCGCGCGTCGACAAGGTGTGCCCGAGGATGCTCATGGTGCACACAGCACCCATTCCCGAAATGCGGGGAAAGCAATCTGCGACCGCGAGACACCGGAAATATTTCGGATACGTGTTCTGGGCAAAGAAGACCACGAGCTTCGATGGCGACCTGTGTTCAATATCAGCGAGACCAAAGGCGCTATCGGAGGTCAGCGCTGTACCGCGCTGCCCCAACAAGATACCTGCACGTCCCGTGGCCCGTGGTATTTGCACACATGGCCATTAGATGGTGTGACTCTCACGGGATCTTCGGCAGCAGGCAAGTAAATTTGAGTCGGGCCTATCCCTCTACAGGAGGAAAATTCAGAAATGGGCATCAAATAGTATTGGGACGATTCTTTTAGTATCCTTGAATGTTTAGGAGTATGTGTTGTCAATCTTTTATTTTTCGTCCAAAATCAGCCTGTACGAGGACACGCCCAACCTAAAAGTAAGCGTCTGAGCAAGTTTCGACATTATGATGTGCCATTATGTTTTTCCAAGGGTGGACGCATGAAGAAACGGTCTGGTAAGTGGTGACCGATTCGACGTCGTGTTTCTTCTCATTGCCAATTTGAGCCGAGGCCGGCAAGATGTCATCGACTTGTCTGAGCAGTTTGAAAGCATAATGTGTCGGGTGCAGATTGCAGAGGAGTTCAAGATCCCTTGGGCGATAACGAGAAGAATCCAATGTATTCGAGATTAGTGCTCCCATTCACACTGTTGAAGGCTATTCCGAACTGCGAGCTGGAACATTCCTTATGTACGTATGGTGACGTCACCCTGAAGATGCGAGATGGCCTGATTCGGTGCAGCGAGTTGTCAGAACCGGTTGCCACTGCCACGGTGCGTTCGCGCGCATGGCCTCTCCAGAGCGACGCTTTCTTGGCGGAGTGTGACCTTTCAGTGTTAAGCAGACTTGCTAATAAAATAATCGTGGCTCTGTAGCGCATTAGTGATCTCGTTGTGATATCGATGCTGTTCCGTCCGCATTGCAACTGCAGAGTTGTCGAATTCATAGTTCCCAACAGGCTCTACTGTTGACGCTGAAGAGGCAGACTAAAGAGAGATCCTGAAGTGCGGCTGGTCGATTCGTTGTGGCGTGTGTATGGCACAGGTGGGTATCGAGATGCACAGTCATATCATTGGATGTTGCGTAGGGACTGCTTCCGCTCAGGCGGCGACGCAATTTGGGAGTTCGAGCCCTGATCGACAGCATGTTGATAGGTACATGTCTGGCCGCATCGCGATCACTCAGCAGTTATCCGGTCACTCCCAGGACAAGGGAATGCCATGTTTTGGCAGTCCGTCGCCTTGGCTATCCGCTGCCGTGTGCATGCCGGACGTGTACTGGCATGCATGCCTCCCACAAGGCAGACAGGCATGCTGAACCGCTTCAGGAAATTATTCGCCCAGACATGCAAAATGTGTCGGACGGTCAGGGCTGCCTTGGTTCGTGAGCCTGTGGGGGCGCTGACGTCAACAGGTAGCCCACATGCGATCGAAATGATTTCTGTGCTTCTCCCCTCTGCACTGCCTTGCTGTCGGCCGTTGCCTTGCGGCCCACGCGGTTCCTTCAATTCGCAGGCGTGGGAGTGCGCACAGCTGGAGAGAGTTGAGGGTTGAACCCCGCGTCTCTGCCTTTACGCGTTAAACCGCCTGCCGCATGTAGAGAGGAGGGAAGTGATGGTGGTGGGGGGGGGGAAGATGGGGCCTGGCAGGCGTAGCGGGGAGGGGGGAAGAACAGGTCGTTTTCTAGTCGAGGGGCTCGTTCCCTAGCGGGGGGTCGCGTTCGTAAGGGGAGGGTGGACATTGCGAGTTTCCACTCTTGGGGGGGGGGGGGGGGGGGGAGGAGGTGGAGATTGACCTGCAGATGTCTGGGATGGAGAGGAGGGGGCGCTGGAGTGGGATGAGGAGGCCGCGGATTGGCGGCGAGCGAGGGGGGGAAGTGAGAAGGAGGAGGCCTTCGCAGAAGGCGGCGGGGCTTCTCTCAGAAGGCCTCAGGCCTTCTCAGAAGTTGTCGGTGTCTTCGGGGGAAGGCTTGGACTTCCGAGCCGGTGAGGACTTCGAGCCTGTGTTTTCTGTTCAGAAGGCCAGAGGACTTCCGAGCCTGAGAGGAGGCCCGCCCCTTCTCGCCTCTCCCCTGGGCCTGCCGCCGAGCGGAGGGAGCGGGCCGCCGCGCAGGCACTGCCCGTCCGACTGGAACCAGTTCAGCGCCGTGCTGCTTCAGTGCCTCGCCGGCGGCGGCGCGGAGCGGGGCGCCAAGGAGGAGGCGTTCACCATCTGAGCAGGCTCGCGAGACTCGAGGACAGGGGAACGTGATAGGCATGCGGTCGGGCACGTTTGCTCCGCGTAGGGCGCCGCCTGCTCTGGCTCACCACGCTTCGGCGCCGCAGGCGAGCCACTTCCCAGTCCCCAAGCGTTCACGTCCCGAACCGTTCCCAGCCTCCCGCCGCGCCAGGCGGAGCGACTCGCTATCCGCTTGCAAGGCATGGTATGTCGCCAGGGCCGCCGCCGCAACTCGCTGAGCAAAAGTGCCTCACCGTAAGCTTTTGGGAGGTCCGTGCTGGCTCCTTAGAGCGGCGCTCAACCCGTCTCCCTGGCGCGCGGAGCGCGACGGAGGCGGCGCCCGAGGCGGCGCCAGGGGGGGGCCGGCACCGATCCAAGAAATCCGCGCGGACTTCCGGGAGGAAAGTCTGCACCTATGCAGTTTGTTGTTCCTCCAGAAACACCCCGTAGGGCAAAGTAGAGATGATGATGCCAGACCCGCCCCATTACGAGTAGGGCCGTCAACGCTGCGGGCATTCATCCCGAGTTGAATATAGAAGAAGAGACAACTGTAAAAAGATACACTTTCGGAAGTCCACGCGGACTTCTGGAAGTGTATGTTTATGCAGGTCTTTCTTCTTCTAGAGTAGGCACTTTGATGCTCCCTTGTATCAGCATTGCTGCTTGAATTTAGCGTGCGCGACCGCAGCTCGAGGCGCAGAAAGTCAGCTGCGAAGGCTGTGCTATCGCGCATGCCGCCGCGCGACGTTGTTTGTTGGAGAGCGCTCGCTTGCCCGCGGCAGCTGCGCTCTCTCTCGTCGGGCGGGCGAAGAGAAGTCTGCACACGCACCGAGCCTGGCCAGGCCCGGCCTGGGCCCAGGACCGGTGCACGCCTTCCTGGCCACTGCAGGAGGGCTTTCGCACCGAGCCTGGGCTCAGCACTGGCCCGGCCAAGAGCACGTGTGCACAGTTCTCTTTCCTCTCGCTCTCTCTCTCTCTCTCTCTCTCTCTCTCTCTTTTCCCAGACCCCCCTCGCGTTGTGAAAAAATCACGACGGGAGGTTCTTCGCCATTTTCGGCCCCTGGGTGCCCTTGCCATCCTACCGGGCCCCGGGACCGTCAACAAAGGATCCGGGATAAAAACCGGTCCCGGGGAAGGGGTCCAGACCTTTGGGGGTCGACGTCGTGAAAAAATCACGACGGCGGGGGTCTGGGCCTCTCTTTCCGGGGATGAGGGGGGGGGGGGACGCGGGGGGGCGTCGGCCGAGAGCCGAGGGGGAGGGGGGGCGGGAGGTCGGAGGGTCTCGGGACAGCGGCCGTTCGGCTCCGCCGCCAGGGGCTTTTTTCCTCGATGCACTGGCGCCGCCGGCGCCGGAGCTCCAGTCCGCCCGTGGCCTCTGGGTCGAGGCCTCTGGTCGTGGCCGGTGGCCTCCTGGTCTCGGTCATGGAGGGGGCAGCGCAGTTGGCCTGCCATCGTCGGGCTGGCATGCGCTGCAGTGGGACCGAGGCATGAGATCGAGGTCGGTTCGGGGAGGGGGGAGGGTGCCCCAGGGTTCTTCGTATTCGCTGGCTGTGTGCATCCTGGGGAGGGTGCCCTGGGATGTTCTGTTCGTTTTTGTTTGTCCGGCGGAGGGCTTCATGTTCTTGGAGGATGTTCTTCTGGCATGGGTCCGACTGCACCAGAAACAGCTCCCCCTCCCCCTCGCGATCGTCTTCTTTTCCATTGTTTTGCCGATCGGCTTGGGCTCTCGCACCCCCTTTCCCTCCCCCTCATGAAGTGGATCTTGGCTCTTTTGTGGCGACTGTTTCGAGCAGCTGGAGGCTCCCCTATGGGACACACTGCTGCACAAGCAGTCGCATCAAGCAGAGGTCTGGAGCAAGACCCCCCCTCCCCCCACTTTCCGCCCAATGTCGAAACGCCGAATACGAAAACGCTCACGAGACTTCACCCTCCGTATCGCTCTCGAGCTGATGATGATGATGATGATGATGATGATGATCATGATCATGATCATGATCATGATCATGATCATGATCATGATCATGATGACGATGATGGTGGCGATGATGATGTTGATCATGATATCATGATGATCATGTTCCTGCTTATTATTATGACAAGGAGGAGGTGATAATGATGATGGTGATTATTACTGTGATGGTGGTGATAATGATGATAGTGATGGTGATGATGGAACGCCGAACACGAAAACGCTCACAAGACTTCATCCCTCCTCCGTGTCGCTCTCGAGCTCGGGCTGCAGGTCCGTGCTCGAGCCTTGGACTCGGGCCTTGGCCCGTGGTCCCTCTGGCCTCCGGCGTGGCCTCCCGCACGGGTGGCCTGCATGGGTGGCCCGAAGAGCTGCAGGGGAGGGGACCTCCTCCTCCTCTTCCTCCATCTCCTCCTCCTCCTCCACCTGCTCCTCCTCCTGCTCCTCCTCCTCCTCCTCCTCCTCCTCCTCCTCCTCCCCCTCCCCCTCCCCTCCCCCATCCCCTCCTCTCCTCCTCCTCCTCCTCCTCCTCCTCCTCCTCCTCCTCCTCCTCCTCTCCTTCCGCCTCCCCCTCCCCCTTGCCCCTCCTCTCCTCCTCTCCTCCTCCTCCTCCTCCTCCTCCTCCTCCTCCTCCTCCTCCTCCAAGCTCAAGTTCGCAGGTCGAAATCGGAAGATCTTGGCCTCACTTACCGTTTTCGCACGCATGCAAAAGGATCCGTGGCTTATTCTTGCAGGTTGGAACAGCACACCCTGAGAACTCACCTAGTCTGGTTGGACTATTCAGATGCATGGTGATATAGCCACCCCGCCCGAGGAGGTCACCTGCGATGAAGGTAAACGCGCGCTCTACGACTATGGCGTTACGTCCTACGGCTACGAAGACGCGCTCACCATCATGAAGGCCATTGAAGTAACATGGGCTACACATTGCGGATTGGTAATCAATTTGTCGAGCAAAAAGCAGCGATGGTGGCATCAGGGCCGGGACATACCTGCCAGCTCCCCCACGGTCCAGAGGCCGAAGAAGACCGAGGATTCCAACAGCCAGCGCACGAAGCAGCAGCAGCTGAATCAACAACGACGCGCGGCGCTCCACCCACATATTCAGCCAGGACAAGATCTCAGTTTCGAGGACAACGCACCATCTACTACGGCCACGACTGCGACCACACCTGCAATGTCCGACGGTGACAACGAGGGCAACACAGACAGCAGCATCAATTTCAGCAGTTCCGACCACGACTGGGGCGTCGCCAGACTGGACTGTCGTAATATAGGATGCAGACCACTTGCCTTCCCACTTCGTCGCCACGATACCCCCACTGAGTGTTGTTGGGGCGCTTGGGCTGGCCCGACCCCACCAAGCAGTTCGCTTGCGCCGCTCGTTACCAGGCAGAGAGAAACCTGTCCCGCCCTGCACCCGCACACCGTTCCCCGAGGGAGCTCGCAACATCTCCAGAGACAAAGGTCCCAGAATAGCCCCAACAGCCACAAAGAGAGCAGTTACCATGTTTGCAGACTGCGTCAGGAAGGAACGCTGGCAACCCGACTCGTACCAAGAGAGACCCGACATTGCCCACCACATGGCGCAGCGCTATGGCGACTGGGTCAGCACCCTCGAGCAGTTGGTCCTCGCGCGCAGCCAGATACCGCAAGACCAGCAAGCGCATTGCCGAGGACGAGCCAGAGGCTTCGGCATCAAAGTGGAGAGGAGCCCCCCGTTCCCAGGACGACCTCATTTACGTCACCCCGAGGCGGAATGGTGGGCTACTATGCGTACACAGGTCGTCGCGATCAACGCGCTTGTCAAGCACGGCAAAGACCGGACCCAGCTACAGCGACGGCAATATTTCAACGGCAACATCAACAAGCTCGTCACCAACAGCAAGTGCGAGAACACAGGTTTACGCCACCAGTGGCAGCATTGACAGCAACGACGCCTTTAGCCCCGTCACCCAGGAGCGCCAGGACATCATCGACCCCACCATACTGCTCGCAGGAGAAGCAAGACGACGGGCGCAAGCAGACGGCAAAAAAGGGTTTCATCATGTGGGTGCAGAATATGTGGAGACAATCCCCAGGAACACTACATAGGTGGACTAAGGACGCGGCGGCGCCGAGGCCCGAGGAGATGACATCCACAATGATGGTCGCGGATCCTGGCGGCATCACGAACGCTAAGACTCATCTGCGGGCAAAGAAATCGACAGCAACCCCTGGGCGACAGGCGGCAGCGCGAGGGGCGCTCGTCCGCTGTCGAGAGTGAGCGCGCCGACGTTGGACGTTGGACACGACGCCCAATTGCGACCCGCAAGCTAGGCGTCGAGACAGCAAGAGGAGGCGACTCTATCGCGGCCCCAGACATCGAGAGGCCCCCACCAGAAGGCAGATTGCAGCATCTTCAGATCCTCGCGGACGCCGAGTACTTCCTCGCGCGGCCCCCCCAGATCCTCGGCGCCATCGGCGCGATTGCAGGCAAACCGCCAGGAGGCGACCGTATACTGGGGCCGCCCCCTATGACAGCTACAATACGGTCACGCATTCCGCCAGGAATCGTGGAGCAGTGGACGGAGCAGATCCAGGACCACTAGGGCGCCGCCATCAAGGGACCCTCAGCGCTGGAGGCATCGCCCTCACTCGCCACCCTGGATGAGCGCACGCGGCATGGTCATCCCCCATGCTGAACGATTCGCAGATATGGAACAGTTGTATGACCCACTGGACTTGGGATGGCTAATCGATACTGGCATCGCGCTGGGTTTCTCACCTACTGTTACGGCGCTCGAAGTCGAAGCCTTTCTTGGACCAAGGCATCTCACGCACGCCGACTGGATCACCCCGAGTCGTTCCATCGTGGCTGGCTCAGCCCAAGGCGCGAAAAAAAAACATACCAGCGTAGATGTTTCCCCGCTGCTCCAGGCGGCCCAGCTGCGCGCGCAAGCTGCAGGATTATGGACATGCGTGGGCAACGCGGTAGGCAGCGTGGAAGGGGCCGCTGAGCACGCGAAGGAGCAGATGACCCAGCTAGCCGACGAGATCCTCATCCAGGCCACCAAGAAGCGCAATCTCAAGATCTCTCCCGAGACGGCGCCGGTCGCGTCCACTCCTATGCTGCGACGGCGTAGTTGGCGGAGATTGGCCGGCATCGGTCTCTCAGGAAAGCGGCAAGCTACCATGGTTTATCCCAGGGCAGACGTCAGTGGCGTCGGACGGAGAGCGCAGCTGAAATCAAGATCACGACAGGGGAAAGCGAAGCAAAGGGCAGGTATGATTTTCCGATGGCGCAGAATGGCCACCCGAGCCGCCAACATCACTAAGGGCTTGTCCAGCGCGGGCGCGGCGCCGCAGAGCACCTGCGGCCGCGGGGCCCACTGCTTCGCAGGATGGCGACGCGATCGGCCGCGGCCCCAGGACCGCGCATGTGTCCTCCTACGAGCATGGCTGCATGGTATAATTTGAAAAACCCGGGGATCGCACTCCGACGGCAACTTGTCAGCGAATGGCTCCAACAATGGCTGCACCATTCAGAGATGCACCGACGTGTCCGACAAGGTTGGACTAGAACGCACAGAAGTTCACTCAAGGCTGGCACCAAGATGTGGCGCAAAGTACAAAGACCGATTGCGGCAGTTCAAGCTACCCTTATCTCAGCTGGATGGAGACCAAAGCAGGCACGCGCTTGGTATAGACCTGAAGCACAAGGAGGCGCAGGATGGCAACTCCCATTTATAGATGAGAATGGTCGGCGCAGTGTTGGCGCGATCGAGTTCACATAGCTCCTGGGAGAATGTGAGCGCGACCTCGATGATGCCAGATGGAAGCAGGCAGCGACGCGCAACGCGGCGACGACCTGGTGGAAGGTGGAGATATACGGCACATTAGGCAGGAACAAAACGCTTCGCAGACAAACGGTCATGGCATGATTGGGCGCTCGGCAACGCGGTGGTTGTTGGCGGGCAATGGCCACGGGATCGACAGATATGCGCAGGATACGAATGCGAATCGAACTTATGCGGGCGTTGCGGACTGGCTCC